TATTATCACTGTTTGATTTTTAGTATATAATTTGTTTTTTCCCAGTTCCAAGATGGCAGACCCCCTTCCCAAAAGGAGTACTTTTGGGGGCAAGGTGAGGGACTTATGATGGCAAAGGTCAGGGGTTAGGCGGGACTTCAGGTCCCAAGATGCCGATCAGGGGGGCAGGGCACCTGTCAAGGAACAGGGCTACCCATGCTACCCTTGACAGTGCACCAAAACTTGTTAAGCAGCCCTCCAGCCAAAATAATTGCCCGCCCCTGATTTAAAGGGTTGTACTGTGGAAAAGCTCCCCACAATAGTGACTTTATTCTGGAAGCATTAATGTGGTTCTGAAGCAGAGTAACGACTTTAGAGTAAACCCATTTTTATTGTGTTCTGTACTGGCTATTCCAGAATGAGTTTGTGATGTGAGAGCTCTCCCAGTACAGGCTACGAAGTGAATAAATAGAACCAGTAGGTGCAGCAAACAATAGGAGGGAGGACAAAGGTAATGGTGATAAGGAGGTCTGGATCTGTGAAGTATTCACTGTCCTGATGAGTGACCCTGGGTAAGTCCCTTCTCGACTGTGCTTCCGTTTCTCTGCCTTGAAATGGGGAGGGTGATACTGAGCTCCTTTGTTCCATTTGAGATCTGCTGATGGAACAAGCCAGGTATTATTATTTTTGGAAACTGCACATGCATAATTCAATATCAGCAATTTTCTTTGACTGGAGAATCTTGTCATTCTTCCCCTGTCCGAGCTAGCTAGTTTTTTTTTCCTTGCATCTGTCCTCAGAATAGCAAATTAATTGAAAGTGGTTCTGCAAAAAATCCCACCCCAAGAAATCCCATCTCAAAGGCTTGTTGATGTGATAAAGACCCCCATTTGCCATGGGGAAAAGATAGGGGGAGAAAAGAGGCTGCTGCTTATTCTGCTTATTAATCCAGGAAAAGTAACTTTACAGCAAAACTCATGAATTCTGCAGGAACAAAACGAGCAACACTGGTAGGAGTGCGTTTATAAGGTCTTGGAGCCAGCCAACTCTGTTCAATTATCAGAGCTTGCTAGGAAAGTCACAGGTTGCTTAGCTGAAGAGAAGACTGAGGAATGGAGGCAGGCACCAGCAGGAGACTCTGAAACAGGGGGACTGAAAGGAAGGAGCCTTTGGGAGCAGCATCTTCAAGCAGGCAGAGGAACTGCTCTTGATAATTTCCCTGCTAAAGAATTAAGCTGCCCAGAGAGAATTTGTTGGCATGGCAGTGGGTTCTTTACAACCTGGGCTAATAGACCGGTTGCCTTACACACAGGTAAGCAGCTGCTTATGATGTGGTTTGGTTGGTACAGCAGCATGGACCATTCAGGTTTTTGCCAGCACGGCTCTATTTTGGACCGCACCCCTTTGGGCACTTTTACACGTGGCACTTTAATTAGAGTGGCTCTGAGAGCATCTGTAATTAAAGCGCTGCCACGGCTCATGTATCGGCATCCCTGCGCTTAAAAATGGTGGTGGGGGTGCTCAAACTAAAGCTCACTCGAAGAGTTTTAGTTCAAGTACCCCCACCACCATTTTTAAGTGTGGGGATGCTGATACATGAAATGCAGAAGGCTGCTGGGGCATGGAAATTGCCATGCTCCAGCAGACTCAAATAATAGACTGCTTCAACATGCTGGAATTCCAGCACATCGGAGCAGCCTCCACGCTAGTGTATAGGTATCCTTTATGTCTGTGATGGACAAAGCTATGTTATGGCATCACTGCTGCCTGAGGGATCATGTAACTGTGTTACTTCCATATGAGGCAGGGACAGAGCCACTGAAACGTCTCTGTTTGCAAAGCAAAGGCAGCCAGCCAGTGCTTGACTCTGCATGGTGCAGGAGGGGATTTAGCGCCAAAGCCTGTCTGCGAATTGGAACGATCAGGAGACAGCTTAGCTGTTCATGTGGGGCAAGGTACAGTCTGCTGGTAGAGCAGGCATGGAAATCAGGAGAGCTTGACATGGTCTGTCAACCAGGAGTGCTCTTGGGGCTTGTGTACATGCTGTGGAGCTGGTGGGCACAGAACAGGGCACCAGGTTTGGGGAGAGGACGTAGGCGAGTGGAAGGACACTGCAGCGTGGAAGAAAATGAGACGTGTAGTGGAAGAGCAGTGTGGACTAGGGTAGGAGTGGCTGAACATACATGAAGAGTGAATCCCGCGGTCGGTTCAGGAGTGGGCGCTATGATGGAGGCTTGGTGAGCAAAAGAATGGACTTGCGCTGTCGCAAGCCCCTCTGCTCAGTGAGGGGAGGTTGAAGTGTGTTCTGGGTTCTTAGTTTTGTCACAAAAAGGTAGCTCTGGTAGCATTTTCCGCTAGGGGGCGGCAGCAGTCCAGGCTGCAGACAGCGCCACATTTCCAAAACGTTGCTGCTGGTCGGCAGCAGGGCTTTTTCCTAAGCTTCTAAGGCAGTGGGCAGGGTGGGATGGGGTTGGGGTTGGAGTTCAACAGCCACTTCCAGCAAGCAGAGTATGGGAACATAGTTGGCAGGAGAGCAGCACTTTCTGACTTGCTAATTTGCAGGCTGTCAGGGAAAAGGTGGGAGGAAAAGAGTTTCCTTAGGCAGCTGTCCTGCAGCAGCGTATCTTGGGGTTTGCCATAGTAACGATCACTATAGTACCTGAACTGTGAAAATATGTAAGGCCCTTTTACAGCCTTGGTAAGTAATGTGGAGACCCTGCAAATGCTGTTCCTGGTGTAACACCAAAGCTAGTGCATAAATGTGTGAAATATTAAGTTGTGGCTCCCCAGCTTTTACCAAACCCCCTCCCCTCCGCATTTTGGACAGTTCTGTTACCTGGTCAGTGTGCAAGCAGACATGGCCCTTGCAAAATATTTGATATTGCTACAAGAAATCTTATAAATTTTACTGCAGGATTTGATGCCTTTATCTCATTGTTCTGTCTAAAATGTACTTCAGGGGAACGGGATGTAATCAGTCTCACGTGAGCAGCCATTCTGGGGTTTTTAAACTTTCCATATTTGGGAAAAGAGAGACTCCATAAATGACAGAAATGAAAATTCTGTTGAAGGAGGAACTTTTCAGTCTCTTTTTTTTAACTCCCTGTCCATCCAAACATGGGGCCTCCATCCTCTTCTGTGTCTTTTTAACCAGCAATTTGGACCTGAGCCACAGTGAATCTCACACTGACCCAGCAAGTTTTCCTCCACAACATCACCTTTTTAGGTCATTTGTTCTCTAATAATTTAGTCTCTGCCTCCCAGACAAGCCAAAGCTGTGCTGCATTCCTG